AAAGATTTCCTAATCGAAGAACTCCAAATCACAAAACATTTGCTAATGCGGAGAGACGCCTTCGGGAAACAGGACGTTTTTTACCTGTAACATTAAATCGTGGATAATGTACGGTCGGAATTATTCAGCTGGAGAAACAAATTTTGGAAAGGGTCAAAAAAATTCCTCAAGTAAATAAAAGGCTTTTAGCGGCAGAGGTTGGCTTTCAAAAAGTTCCCTTAATAGAGTATTAAAAGACCAGTTATTACAGGTTACAGGTATTACAGGGTACAGGTAGGTATTACAGGTCTAACAGGTGGATAGGTAGAGGAAATAATACCCCTTTAAAATGGCCACCTTGATCCAGGGACCTAAACCCATGTAATTATTTCATTTGGGGAGCGTTGAGGACCACAGTTTAAAATCACTTTTCACTAAATACAGAAAACGAATATGGAGTAGAATACGACATGAAATTAATGTTATGAGAGGTAATGCACAATTATTGGATAATTTCTAATTTTCGAAGAACTAATGTTTGCATTTAAGAACAAGAAAGTAACTTTGAGCATTTACTGTAATATTATTTTAATGTGATTACAAATATCAGTTTATTTAAAATGTTAATGTTGACTTTCTTACATTATTAGTTGATATTGTTTATTTAAAATATTAGTGTTGATTTTTATTTTATTGATTGATAATACTAATACCAAAAATGTGTAGTTATTTTTTTTAATGTGACGTTTTTTCATTATTATTCCCTGCTTTGAGGCTGCAGTTATAAATTATTTTTTATAAATCGGAATTTTTGCCTATATTTAATGTATAAAAAATGCGAATTTTACTCGAAATCCATAAACGATATCGAAATTTTGTAAGAGCAATAAAATCTTCTAAAATAGTGCTTATTTTTAAAAATATAAATTCTGTCGTCATTGGCATACACACAAAAAAGTTACGGGATAGCCAGTGGCGCACAGGCACTAGAAATAGAACATCCTGTATATATATTCTCTCCAAATTCTATATTTATTTACCTTGCCCTTATATAAAAAAATAAGTGTATCAAATTTGAAGTTTCTAAAAAAACAGTTTTCAAATTATTTGAAAAAAAACTAGGATATCTATTCTATATTTAGAAGGCTGTATCTCAGTAGGCGTGCACTTTTATATATAGGTAAGTTAGGCCAAATAGTCTTATTTTCATCCAAGGAATCTGTGGTCAAGCGTTGTCCATCCTTTTCAGGGACACCCTGTATAAATTAGTTCACATATTACATTTAAGTGATTTTCCGCAGAATGTTATCTTATTAAAAAAAACACAAATTAGTCGCAAGTATAAATTAATATCTAATTGCAAGTAAATAAATTAGGTATGAATTATATGTTTACTTTCTGCGTAATAAATATTTATTTCCATTAAAGGAACTGAAACTAGTTTTACTAGCTGTCCGTACATAATTGCAAAATTACTTCAGAGAAACTAATGCGTGTTTCGCTGCAGCTTTTATTATTTTTTTAATGATTTATTTTATCTAAAATCCCTCCGCGGCGGCTACGAATCTAGTAATAAACTTGGCTTAAAATAAACGTATGTGGCAACAATAAAGAACAAACTCATCAGCGGCAAACACTTAATGACTCCATAATAATAATAATAATAATAATAATAGTAATAATAATGTTGAATGGTAACTGTAACCTGTTAACACTATTTTTAGCTGTATACGGTCGGGTATTTCATGAACTATAAATGCAGGTTTTTATTACACCACGGTATAAGTATATAAGGCAAAGTAGATCACGTATGTTTTATTTATGATATAGTTTCTCGTTTCTCCAGCAACAGCGGATTGTATGTAAATATTGTTACTGGCAGTTCTGTTATAAAAATTAATAATCAAATAGAACGCCGATAAAGTTATAATAAAATGGTAACAGGCCGGCCCTCTTCCACACAGATTTTAAGTTTAAATTATCGTTTATGCGTCTTGCAAATATAAATCATCAATTTATTGACACAACCATATTTTAACTTCTGAATGGATGAAACATTTACAATTCGAGGAGTATATAAAAAATGTGTAAGCCGCAAGATCATTTACTTAACAGTCAATTGAGCTCCCTAGGGGAGAAGTATTTGATTAATGATCAGAAGTCACCACTGTACCACCCGCCACTTTACTGAAGTATTGACAAATCATGAATATAAGCGGCTAAGTATCAGTCAATTAGCTAAGCTAATAATCAGTTATTATAATCTTAAAGAAAATAGGGGTATAAAGGTGGTTAGCTGTCTTGTATATACAGGGCGCTCCGAATTGCAAACGCCAAACCTTACTTGGTGTCAGTGATAGAACATCTCAGGATTAGAAAAAAACATTCATTTAAACATAGGACGCTTTTTTCGGGATGCAAAGTGATGAATTTTTAAAAATATATACAGGGTGGTCCGAATTTTATGCAGGAAACTTCGAGGGTAGATAGATTTAAAATAATACGTGTTTGCCTTATAAACATAGGTCTGGAACGGCCCCGTTTTAGAGATACAGGGTGTTGATGTTTAAAAAAAATGATTTTTTGTTTATATCCCACACTACCTCACAGGTGGTGTACAAAGGAGTGTAAATAATTTTGTTGATGTGCTTACAAATTGCACTTACTTTTAAGCATAAACATAAATATTCTTGTAATATTATCGTTAGAAGTGTCTGCCACAAGGGGATTGTATTGGTATGAATTCCTTGAGAATGGCGAATCTTTGGGAAAAAATTAAAGTCACCTTTTTTACGTATTTTGTGCATCAGTTACAATGACATGTAAAAAATGCGGTGGCGTAGGTTTTTTTGTAAAAAAGGGAGTGACCCCTGTCCAGTTGTACACCACTGGTTGAACCTTTAAAGGTCATATTTCAGGGAATATAAGGCCTACTATCATACATTATATGTACCAAATTTTATGGAGATCGGTTAATAGATTCCGGAGATATAAACAAAAAAGTCAATTTTTTTTTGACAACTTGTACCTCTAAAACAGCGTCGTTCCAGACCTATGTTTATATGGCAAACACATATTATTTTAAAGAAATCTATCTGCCCTCGAAGTTTCCTGCATAAAATTCGGACCACCATGTATATTTAAATATCTCTCAAATGTTTGTAAGTAAATTGAAGAAGCTTGAGGTGATGATTTAACTAATTGTGCACAAAATATTGATTCACAAATCTGTCTACCAGTGGCGGAGATGATGGGAGATACCGTGACGACGAACTTAAGAATTTCGACGCCACTGAATTTTCCGGAAATTGAAGTGCATTTAATTCTGGTTGGTGTTTCTTTCACTTTATTCGAAAATGAACCATTTTTCAATAATAATAATATATTTTTTTAAATAAATCTTTGAAATAGTTGAATAAAAACAATGCCGAACATAATCAATTGACAAAATACACTCGGCAAACTTGTCCTGCGGAAAAAATGTAATTGTGAAACATTTAATAAATTTCAAGACAATTGTTTCCCAGTTTTTAAATAAATAAAATAAAATGTATCGATTTTGTAGTACGAAGATATGCTGTGCTTAAATTTTGGCTCGAATTTCAGTAATTATGAGTCTCTAAAAACAGGAACATAACTTTTAATCAAATGATGAATTTGAAAAATATGTAATTAAAGTACCCAAAGATTCACGTCATCCAAATAATCATACGTATTAAAAATAATTTAGGTACTTACCAAAAAACAAAATTCAGTAATTTTTAAACGCACAAGTACAAAACAAACTACAACATATGCTCAAAATGTCCATCACTATTTTCGATGCACGCACGACACCTTCGAATCCAATTTTCTCGCACTCGCTGGAAAACGTCTCGAGAAAAGGAAATAGTGGTACGCAAAAAACACTGAGACGGTTCAATTCCAGATACCAACTGAGTTGCGTAATGCTGGACAGCTTAGTACCTCGTGTTATCCGCCGCGCCGTTGTCACACTGTTCGATATAAATTTTATCGAATTTTAAATTTATTACAACGCTAATTATTTTTTAGAATTAAGCACAAAGAAGTTAAAAAAAGTGATAAATATTGTATTTTATGGTATTTTATGCACGCAGTTATGTCAATATTCCTTAATTAATCGAACTTTTGTACATCGAATTGGAGATTTTGATAATTTTTTATTTGAAATGGTTGAGTTTAGGACCCATGTTATATAATGGTTTTTGTTAATTTAATGTATTCTATCGTCTGTTAAAATTAAGGCAGTCAAACTTCTAACACCTTGTGTAAATTTTGAGAAATTAAATTTTAAATATAATGTACTTATGAAAAACATTAAAAAATAATTGGCATATGAACTTTAAATTTTCTGAGATAACCCCAAAACAATTGGAAATTATTATATCATCGATTTTTTGTTTCGAACTTCTTATGGTCACATTGTATTTAAAATTATATTTCTAGGAAAAATTGCTGTAATTCAGGACACCCAAAATAAAATAAAAACCATAAAAATATATAACCATCCATACAACAATTAAAAATCACTATGGCAAAATCGATATATATTTCTTAGTGAAATAAAGACTTATTTAACATTAACAAAATAATAATTACTTAAAAATTGGTGTTTTGAGTAAAATAGAAGACATCTTCTCATTGTCGAAAACAAATGTACTTATCGAATTTGGAAAATATTCAGTGGCGTCGAAATTCTGGGATTATTGATGACGAGAATTCCCAGCATCTCCGCCACTGATTGAGAGATTTGTATTTCGACCATCGACCTATTTTTAATCATAATTACTTTATTTCGAGGTCAAATCATTACCATAAGTTTTGTTAATCAACGTTAAATAAAATAAAATACATTTTGTACAAATTTTTTCCCTAACAAATTATGTCCCAATTTATCACTAATTTAAAAATAGTAACCAATTATCGTTTTGTTGTAACTATAAGCTAATATTAATTATGTGGGGAAACGAATGATTTTAAAATTAATCTTTTGTTTGTAGGTGACGTCGATCGAATAAGCCAGTACTTGGTCCAGCTCTCGAGAGACCAGGGCTCGTTGGATAACATATCGGTGATAGTTGTTTTTCTCCGGGAACCGTCCAAGATAGCAGCGGAGGCCCACTGGGCAAACCGCAACCGCACCACTACCACCATGGACGCCAGCCTCGATAACGCCAATAATCCCTTCGCCATCTCTAATGGCGCCCCCACAGACAACATCATCTCCCAGAAATCCGACGGCCTACTTTTAAATCTCACGGACAACTTCAAACAGAACGGTGAGTACACTAGGAGCCTTTGAGTAATCGTCCCTCTTCTGATATAATAAATCCCACTTCTGATTTCTGATAGTAAACTTTTTTCGAAGAAATCTATTAAAAGGAAGTCGTTGCAGGTACTGACATTTCGCCTACCGCAGATTTTTACCCGAAGGAAAAATCGAACGGTAAAAGGTCTGCTTCCGAGTTCGACGATGACGACTTCGGTCCTGAGACAGACGTGGACGCCGTGGACGACGCGCTCTCCCCAGTAGAGACCGCCAAAGGTTTCGGCGACGTATTCACCAACAACAATCCTGCCGAGGGGGTGTGCAACCCCTTCATCGAGCACCAGGAGAAGGCAGCCCTGGAAATCGAACGCGAGCTTCAGAAGCAGCAGAGCGCCGACGCAGAGGAACCCAGATTGGCCAGAGAAGAGACTCCCACACCTCCCGCTGATGCTGGTAAGTCTTTTCTACATCTCTCACTGGAGATCGATTGATTTCACTGCCACAATATTTTCGTTCACATGATATCATCTAACCATAAATGAATACTTAATGAACAATTACACAATCGCCAATTGCGCGCTCTCAAAAGGAAAACTCACAGCGGATCTGTGTCATAAATTGCTTATAAGTTTATGCGCGTGACGAATTTTTATTAGACGCTGGAATTTTTATGGTGCCTCGCAGGGTTACGAATTGGGGCCATTTCCGTTTCGATTTACGCAATGCAGGCGGACTGCTGCGTTTCGCAATGGCTGTTTGCGTGTCTCTAGTGCACCGTGAAAACACGGTCTCAGACAGCAAACTGCCTTGCTGGAAGGTTATTCAAGTGTTTACCATTTACTTCCGGTGAATTAAGTTGTACATTGAAGTAAATTACTAAGTAATTGTTATATAATGCTGGCATGCACTAATACATCATCATTCACCTTTATAATTGGCCGTGTTTTAAATAATACAAGAAACAATTGATGAATGATATATCTGTTTAATAAGTAATTTGCTGAACTCAGTTTTACCTGGCAAAAATTTCAATACAGATAGTTTTATTTATCAGATTAATAGATAGTTTTAAATTGGTATAAGAAACAACTATTTTCGAGTTTTACATTTTTGGTCCTTCGGGCCGGATTTAATAAAAATATGAATACCAAAAATATCTTTGTTACACCACAAACCTCTATTGCGTGACCAAGGATCATGTTCTTTCTGAGAGGCTCCGCATCTTTCTCCCGTTTCGTCGCCATAGCTACCGCCCTAATAGAGTTACAAAATGGTAACGCGAGATGATAATTGTTGCACACAATTCACGAGCGGGTCTAAATGGGATTTCGTCGTTCAGCAATCGTCGTCCCCGGTGAGGGGGAAATTTCAAAATCGGCACTCGGGGCAGTCAATGGGGCGTCGCAATATCGAGCAGAAGGAGACTGTTTAAATTCCCAGTTGCTTTAGGGCATTTAATTGGACAGTTATTTAATCCAGCGTGATTATTATTTAATTCGCTTTTGCATTTTTAAAACTACTGTTAGTAGGGCATTTAAAGGACTCAAAAAAAATATTTCAAAGGCACGTTTTTTATAATAAGTGTATATACAGGGTCGGAAAGTCTCCATGGTTCATCGGCTGTTACGTGAGAGCGACAAAGTAAGTCATAGAAATCCGTGCGATGGAGAAAGATGGCTATAATTAAGGCGTCTAATAGTCACCGCCCATTTCGCCCTTCTACAAATAAGATCCACTTCTTATTTGTGGAAGGGCAAAATGGGCGGTGACTATTTGACGCCTTCATTATAGCCATCTTTCTTTATCGCACGGATTTCTATGACTTACTTTGTCGCTCTCACGTGACGGCCGATGAACCATGGGGACTTTCCGACCCTGTATTCAGAAAACTATAGTACAGAAACTACTTTTATGGCACTATATATTTCCTCTCGAGATTGCTTCTTTTTTCCTGATAGCCATTCATCACTTATAATGTCTAATTCCAGTTTGGAAAAGTCCGCTTCTGTAATAATACACGTCCCTTCATCATTAGCACTACATCTTATGACATTTATAAATTGACATCGTAATGGGATCCTATCTGTGACGTAAATTTATAGTCAGTCATTGTTGGGCAGATAAAGAGTTATTTTCAGAAGTTTAGAATTATTATCCCTTTCTTCCTAGTATTCCATTACAGTTATTATTTCGAATTTGCTTGAAGGAAACTGAAACATGAATTACGTCAGCGGTCCCCAAACTTCTTTGAAAATCTAATTTATAGCGTATAAGTTTCCTATAATTTGTTAATTTCCGAAACAGGTCATTAGTATCTACTATAAAATAGTAGGTACATTAAACCGCTGCCAACTTTTATTTGTTATCCCGTGATAATATCCGAGAAGTCGAGACTCAGCAGCGATGGCTGTGGGACGAGCACAACCCAAACCGAATTGAAACGCGCCTCAAGCGTGACAGTTCACACACACGCGCTAGCAGCTGTCGGCGTCCCTCCGAGAACGAAATTTATCACAGATCTTATACTATTGCGGTTCTAATTTACTACCGCCGCCAAACTGCGCGGATACATCGAAAAATATCAAAATGCCTCCATACTTCAACTTACTAGTCACGTTTCGCTTGATTTACGCCTCGCGACAAAGCCCGCTAGTTCTAGTGATTTTTTTTCCTCTGGAATAGTATTTATTTACGTTCCTGGTAATAATAATAGTAATAATATGGACGTGTCGAGGCAAGGAACTGCCAGACACTTCTAAATTGCGATTGGAGCCCTATTTCTTATTCAGAAGAAGTTGTAGGTGGCGCTGTATTTGGGTGATAGAATAACCATATTTTGGGATAGCAGAAGTCGGAGAGAATTTTCAATTCGAGTAAAGCGCCCACTCTGGTGCAAAATAGATAAAATATAACCAAACTAGTATAACCAAACCATTTTTATGCAAAACTGGGGTATTCTGGGGAGAGAGATTTAAAGTTTGTTAATAATAATATGGTTAATAGATAGGACCTCCTCCCATTCTTTTACATTTCAAGATGAAAATGTTGAATTTAGGTACATACTTACAGTTCTCAATATACAATTTCATTATAACCATAATAAAACCGATGGAGGATAATTCAAATTAATTTTCAAGTGTTAAAAAATACTCCTTAAGCAACGATTTTTAAGCTGCTGCTGGCGTTTTCACCGGACGAAATGGTGTCTCTTACTGTAAGCACAGAATGTCATTGCAATAAGTATCATTTTAACGACGTTCTTGCAGACAGTGTAGGCCGATGATTTTTGCCGACGATGAACACCAGCAGAATACCTTAAAGACGTAGCTTTAGCAGTATTCTATTTCTTCAGTTACTCACAAATCTATGTTGATTTTTTTGTGACACACAAAATAATTGTAATAGCTAACAAGTATAAAAATAAATAAAACAATAAAATTCAACATGTCAATTAAATATAAAACAGTATAAATCCAAACAATCGAACAACATAATTTTTTGACATAACATTGGCAGTAGGAAGGCGACAGCGTTTACGTGTGCGTCTGTAGCGAAGTAAATTAAAAGTGCGGGAAATTTGAAATGATTTCCTCAAAAGGACAATTTTTGTTTATAATTTAATCATAATATTTAACATTTCTATATAAACCGTATAGCTGCAACACCAAATGGTTCTCTTTTTTTGCTTCGACGTCCACAGAAAGGCGTTATTTTCTAAGCTGATATAGCAAGCGCCACCTTAATGGAATTCATCTATTGTAAATGGTTTAAGAACCAAATTCAGGTACTGCATAATGTGTGGCCTAACATCAGTTTAGTTATGGTAGTCTGCTATCCAATTGCTATGAATTATTTGACGAAATTCATTTTATTAGGTTTTTGTTTTGAGCTGGCCTGCGGCTTGTTTCCCCATGTTCCCTGGAAACGACGCCCACCTTGAAGACTTTATTAATCCTCATTTTCCGGTGTTAAGTACGCAGGCATTCCACGCGTTCGCCTCTAACCGCAGACGGGCTCTTCTCCGATTCCAAGGCACACCAATTTAATTTTAACGTTCTTGCCGACCCTCTCAGCATCAAGCGAACTCTTTGAAGTCGCGAACGCCGTTAACTCTTTTTTTCTGGCGGCGTATTTCATTAAAACTCTCGGTACAATAAAGTTGGCTCTCAGGTCTAAGTATAGACGCGGGGACTAACGAGTCGTAAAACAAATTTACAAAGGCCCAGGATCATTAGAGTCCCTCTTGTGGTTCTGGAGAAGCCGGCGAATTAGCACTAAAAATGCTAAGTCGTTTACTTGTTTCGCGTTAGGTTTAAGTCGGGGTAATTTGGGGTTCTGTAGGAATAGACGAAGAAAAGCGGAAAAGAACTAATAATGAGGTTTGCAGAAAATGCTAAATGGTGATGCTTCAGGATTGTTTCTCTAATTAGGTTAACTTTGGGAAAACTTAAGTTTTAACTTTTTTAACTACGTGACTCAATTCGACTACCGAATTTCTACAAAGTGTTCCTAAAGTTCAAATTTCAATTCAGGAATATTTCGTAGATATTCGGCATCCGAACTAGAGACGTTTCGTGTTTCCGCAACCAATAATTTTTTTTTGCAAACGCAACCAGTAATACACGTGTGTTGACACATTGACTAATCTTCACGCTTAATTCTTTTAACTAAGAAATCGAATTGATCTCAGCTATAAAATATTAATCAAAATTTTCTATTATTTCTTTTAAAAGACTTTCCCCAGGTCGATCTAAATTTGTCTCGGCAATAATTATTCACTTTCCCGAGTCGGGAGAGTTTTAATTAAATTATAAATCCAATCTTATGGCTTCCATTTTTCACCGCCGTCGAAATTCTCATCTAATTGCTTCTCATTTTTCTCTTCCGCGCGTCCTTATCGAGAAAGTCATATAAATTGATGGTGCAGATATCTTCCGGGAAGGTACGGGTGCATATTAATTGACAAAAGCAAAAGATAAATTGTGTTTTGGAACATTTGTCTTAAATTTGAATGTCTAAATGTAGGTACGAGTTTGATGAACATTAATGTTTAAATTCTTCGAGTGTATCCTTGTGTCTTCTATACATAGTGTGACAGAGACGTCGCGGCAAACTCTCAGAGTTCATTAAACGGTTACTAAGGGCTCTACAGCATATCAAAGATTGGTAGTTTTTGACCAATTTCATAATAATCATTGAATTGTATAATGCCTTCAAATTTGATACAAACCAGTTTCCTCATAGTGACTGAACTATACACTACAATTTAATAAAAAAATGGCTATTGACTTCGTGAAAAACAGAATAACTTAAAATCGCATTTGAATGAAAAGTCAAACAAATTCTTTCTACATTTTACGAGAAAAAAAATCTAAGAGTAGGTACGAAAGCTTTGAATAGGCATCATCTATCCTATTCTGGAAAAGATTCTCTTTAACGTCAAATAACTTTCT